CTTCAAGTTTCTACCGTTGACGGTGATTGGAGTTTGTTGTTGTTGTTGATGGTGGTGGTGCGGTATCTTCATCACTTCTGTCTTCTCTATATTCACCTGAAGTCCCGTCTTAGCTGCCTCCTCTGTCAACTTGTTAGTTTTTGCCTGCAGATCTTCAAGTTTATGTGACATTAGGCATAAGTCATCGGCGAAATCCAAGTCTTCTAGGTTCTTTTCCGTCGTCCAGTGTATCCCCCTCTTCTCGCTGCCTACTGTTTGCTGCATGATCCAGTCCACCACAATTAGGAATATCATGGGGGATAGTAGGCAACCTTGTTTCACTCCTGTCTTCACTTCAAAGGCATCACTGAGCTTCCCATTGTGGATTACTTGGCATGTGGCATCTTCATATAGTTGTTGAATGAGGCGGATAAAGGTTTGCGGTACTCCGTAGTATTGAAGCAGTTTCCAAATTACTTCTCGGTCGACGCTGTCAAAGGCCTTCTCAAAGTCGATGAAGTTGAGGTATAGAGCTGATTGCCATTCTACGCTCTGTTCTATGATGATACGAAGCGTTGCAATTTGGTCAGCACATGATTTGTACTTCCTGAAGCCTGCCTGTTCCGGTCGCAGTTTTGAATCCAGTGCGTCTTTAAGCCTCTCCAGGATGATGCGGCTTAATATTTTACTTGGGGTGGATAGGAGAGTGATTCCTCGCCAGTTCTTGCAAGCACTGAGGTCTCCCTTCTTCGGCAGTTTGACAAGGTAACCCTTCTTCCAATCGTCAGGTACCTTCTCTTCCCTCCACACCTTCTGCAATAGTGGTGTGAGCATGTCCGCTGTTGTCTCTGCATCTGTTCTCAGTGCTTCTGGCGGTATTCCATCTGGTCCTGCTGCTTTCCCGCATTTCAGTAGCTTTATGGCGTTCAGGACTTCCATTTTCGTTGGGGGATTTATGTTCACTTGTAATTCAGCGGCTGCAGGTGGTATTTCTGGACGAAGTGCAGGTGGTGGTCGATTCAAGAGCTTCTTGAAGTGGTCGGCCCATCGTTTCCTCTGTTTCTCTTCTTTTGTAATTAAATTTCCTTCTTCATCTTTTATTGGTTTCATCTGTGTTGGTCTCTTCCCTGATAGCAACCTGGTTATTTGATACAATGTCGTCAGGTCTCTCTTACCTGCAGCCTGTTCTGCTTCACTTGCCAGTGTGTCGTAGAAGTGTCGTTTGTCTTTGCGTGCACTCTTCTTCACTTCTTTATCCAGTGTTTTATACATTGTGCTCAGTTCCTCTTGTCGTTGAGCATCCTTGCACTGGTTTATCTTCTGCTTCACCATCCTCCTCTCCTCTATCAGCTTCCAGGTATCCGTCGAGATCCATTCCTTGTCTTCTTTCTTCTTCCTTCCTAATACTGTTGTGCAGGTTTCTTTCCACATAGCTTTCAAAGACTTCCAGTGTTCTTCTACACAGGTTTCTTCAGGGATGTCCCTCGACGTCTCCCATTTTGTCTTGATGGCTGCTTTGAAGATCTCCTTTGTAGTTTCATCCTTCAGTTTCCGAGTGTTGTACTTGAATTGAGGTCTATCACCAGCTTCCTTGAAGGCTTTTAACTTGATTTGGAAGGTTCCTTGCACTAGATAGTGGTCTGAACCTACATCTGCTCCTCTTCTTGACCTTGTGTTAAGTAGACTGCGTCTCCATTTTCTTGAGATTGAGATAAAGTCGATTTGGTTTTTAGTGTGTCCATCTGGTGAAATCCATGTCGCTTTGTGGATATCCTTGTGCCTGAACACACTGCCTCCAATCACCAAATCGTTGAATGCACAGAATTCTGCAAACAATTCTCCATTCTCATTCATTTCACCTAGCGCCTCTCGACCCATGGTTAGTTCTCTTCCCGTGTTGTCCCCTCCCAGTTTGGCATTCATGTCGCCCATTAGAATTTTGATATCGCCAACTGACGTCTTGTCCAGTGTTGACTGAAGTTGTCTGTAGAATTCCTCCTTTTTCTCTTGCTCTGCATTATTTGTAGGTGCATAACATTGTATGATTGTGACCTTTCTTCCTTTTGAGTTGAATCTTGCTGACATGATCCTGGAGGAGATTGGTTCCCACTGCATGAGAGCCTTCGATGCTCTTGAGGACATCATGATAGCCACTCCCTCAGTGTGCTCGTGGTTGGCGTCTGGGTGACCGGAGTAGATTATTGATTCTCCCGTTGACAGTTTGGAGAGTCCACTCCCATTCCATCTGCTTTCGCAAATCCCAAGCACTTCGATGTTATACCTTCTCATCTCCTTTGCAATCTGGGCTGCCTTACTGGGTTCAAACATCGTGCGGACATTCCATGTCCCCACGTTTACTTTCGCTTTCATCGAGAGAAGACACATCGGCCAATTGGCTTCCCGAAGGCTTTCACCAACTGGCGTCATTTCGCCTCTCCGATTCCAGCGGGGAATAAGTTTGTTTTCATTTTTTATATTTTGTTTGTGCTTTGAAGTTTCTTTAGCGGTTAGATTTGTTTTACGGGGTAGGGTTGCTAGCCCTATGCCCAACCTTCCCTCTTTACCCGGGCTTAGGACCGGCTAGTAACTAGTAAACTAGTTAACCAGGCGAGGTTTAAATACTTTAAACAGAAACAAATAACAATGAATATTTATGTAGTACAGTAATTAAGGTAGGTAGTCAGTCACCACATACAGGTCACTAGTGAATTGTGATTTTGACAATACCTTAATGTCCTTTGAACTTTCATATTTAGTCGAGGCCACTTTATCGACATCATCAGCATTATCTCCATAAAGACTGCTTTACGGAGATAATGTTCAAAACAAGAATAATTTAAACGAACAGTTGTTTTCAATAACTTCTTCTGGCTCTACAATTATAAATCCATGAGAATAAGTGAAATACCATAGCCACACATCGATTAAGCAGATCAATCGGAAAGATATTCAATGCAGCGAAACGTTTTTTCAGCTTCTCAACACAGCAAACCAAGGATAGGTTATCAACGGTCGCCACTTCAAAGTGGATTTATGAATTCAGCTGCTCCTGTGGACCTTCAATCATCACCCAATATAAATGAGGTATATAAATGAATCATTATCACTGATTTTGTTTCCCCATCTCATAATTGTTCCGTCAATATTGATTTCATTGCACAACTAACACACTAGACTGATAATATTTCACCATCCCATTCTATTTGATCTCCACTGTTTTAATATAGTAATAATTGTACATCATGCCTTATTTCGTTTATTGTATCTCACTTATTCTTATGGGTTTATAACTGAAGAGCTTGAAGAAGGAGTTATTGAAAACAATTATTTGCTCAAATTATTCTTGTTCTGAATAATCTATGGAGATAATGTTGGTGGTTTCACCAAGCCTGGTAATGAAGTGTTCACAACAAAATATCAAACCTCAAAGAACACCATACTATCATCATTCTCATTCTGAGTTTCAAAATAGTGGTTCTAATAGGAACATTTCCAATATATTGCTATGCCAAGTTGACCGCATAGTTTTCACTTCCACTACTTCTGAAAGGATATCATTCTTTACGAGCTTTCCAACGTTTTCACTTTAGACAAGAACTATGTTCAAAAACTGAATCGATTAGAAATGTTTTAGCGTATTTCTGGCTTTTAATCTTGTTTCTTCTCTTGTATCCTGTTCCTTGAATATTGTCATTTGCACAGCCTATTTCACCGGAATCAATGTATTCATTCTTCTGGTAAGAAAAACAAACATCAAGAATGGCTATTTTAAAAAAGATTTCATTGTCTCAACTTATTTTTTCCGATTTAATTATTTGCAAATAATGTGCACTTACTCGGTTGTTTTACTTTACTGTGCTAAGTCATTGTTGCTTGTTCATACTAGCATACATAGCTTATGAAAGCCTTCATTTTGCAGGTCGTTTATATTTATTTAGTTGAATACATAGTTTTCTATGCTCATCAGGTTAAAGTAACTGCTAATATAAATCAGTACAATATTATATGAAGCTCATACATATTTAAGAGTAAAAGTTGAGCATTGTAGAAGAATGTAAATCCATTTTTGGTAATTTACTTGGCTGTGGCTAGTAGAAGCGGGCATCCAGGACGCCCGTTTCACCTCAATGGCTTAAGTGACATGGCGGATTAACGCTTTGGTGTTTGAAGCGATAGGTACGAGATTCGATTTCCAGTGGGAACATCACTCACTGGGTTGCAGGCACATCCAGCTCACGAGTCCAAAATAGGACGAGACGCGTTTCCTGGATTCCTCTACTACTCACAACCAAGTAAATTACCATCATAAATATCCAGACATTATTGAGGCATCTGCATAGGACTTCATATGCCAACAGAGGTTGAACAATTTGATCCAGTATAACAACGGAGAATTACAAGAATATCAACAAATAGCAATAAGAGATATGATTTAGATAGTTTTAGCTTTCTCGCCTCCTCTATGATATAAGAAGTAGAACTTTTCATGTATTTGAAACATATGCTGAGTCACTGAGTTACGTGGATATGACAGTGGCTAATTAGTTGTGCTTGGAACGTAATCCAGTAAATAATGCTGTTCCACCGTGCGATACATCTGATAGATCAGATAAATGGAAGCTCATATTTGCATTGCGAAAAATCCTTGGACATTAATACTGTAGTTTGGATTTCCCTAAACAGAATGTTATATACATATTCTTCAGTTTTATTCCTAAACAAAAACCTAACGTATGGAATTCATCCTCAACTTACAGTTTCATGTTATAGTGAGAAATAATGATACAACCTTGTTACTTGGAGCATAAGTGACAAGTGAAGTCGAGCCTACGATCCACCAGCCGTAAACCTAGCACCTAATCAAATGAGTCATAGACCAACATTCTAGCCTATGGTCATTCAAAGCCTACCTTACTTGATCAAGACCCTATCGAAAAGAATATTGTTGCTTCAGTGATATTTTATTCTACTTTGAATTGAAGATTGTAAGTTTAAATGCTTTCGTTTATTTGATTTAACAGAGGATAGAAAAAAGTACCAGCGCTAAGGTTGGTATGGCAGTGTTTAAATCGAATTGTGGAAGACTGTTTGATTTGCCTCAATCAGCAACCCATATTCCGGGACCAGGTAAGCATTTCACTCTTGGTAGTTAAAACTATACAGATATAAAGAATATTATTTGAAATGAATCGTCAAGAAAAGTGATACTCTATCAGTCATAAGAAACGTGTTATTTATAAGTAGTTAAATAGTGACAGTAAGCCGTAACGCGTCACGAGTTCACATGGTAGTTGGGCGAAACCCTTGGCGATTGGAGTAAGATAAAAATCTGGACAGCAGTCGGGGCGCGTAGCCCAGTTGGTAAAGCATCAGCCCGAAACCCGATGGTCACTGGTTCGAATCTGGCCACGGTCCAAATTTTCATTTCACCTTCAATCATCATCCAGTATAAGTAAGCAAAGAGGCAGTTTTCTAGAATTCAGTAGCAAGATGTCTCTACACTTGCAGTCATTTCGTTTATAAGGTTAAAAACTGTACTTACTGTACGACATTTTGTCCATATCCGTTTTGAAATCGTGATAAAGTATTAGGATTCAGTTTTCATGGTTTTGATACTTCTGCTGAATGGCGGTAAACTGTTTGAATCATATTACACAAGTATTGAACGCTTGTTAAATTTGTTTGTTTTTCTGTTCTTACCGATAAGCAAACGTCTGGCTACATTTTTTCCTTTCTTTCCAAGTAGGTTGAATTCAGGAATACTTTTTTGTCGGATTTTATTCTAGAACTGCGTATTGGTGAGAGTTATGATGGTGCTTATATTCCTAAATATCTGATCTTCCCAAGGTTTCAAATTCTAGATCGAGCTGAGTTTCCATACTGCTATCAACTAATTGCCTATCTTAGCTAACATAAACGACAATGTAACTGTTGTAAAAAAATCTTTCAACCCAGCTATTAGAATCAGGTTAAGTACTGCGAAACATGAGTTAAAAAATCTCCTCAAACCAATTGAATTTTAGGGCAAATTCCCAAAGGATCCAGAGAAACATGTATTGAATTACTCTGGGAAAAACCTTTCCTAACCAACTGGAGGTTTTCTCTCTTGGTCCAAAGTTTTGTATCTCTCACGCGAATGCTAACGTGCTTCATAATCAAATTCAGTTTAACAATTTCATCATCCTGACTAAAATTCTTGTACCAGTGATATTAGAGGGCTTCAATCACTTCAAATCAACTTTGCCTAATTGCTCACATTAGCTTACGAAGTCAAGGTCGGAACAACTATATGGTCTAAGCCAAGAATAATTCAGTCAACTAATAAAAAACAAGGATACTTTATCAACTCGATCTAGGCAGTCATCATATCAATAAAAATACTAAACTACCTTAACAAAATGTTAGCTATTCTCTCAGATAATGAAACGTTGCAGAAACCTGAATATTGAAAGAGTAAAACAGAATTTATCGAGGAACAAATTTTACAGGTTCCGGAAAGAATAGAAAAGAACTCTAGAAGAATACGAAAACTGAAAACGACTGGATCTATCATTTCCTGAATTGATAGTCTACCTATAATTCACAAACCTGTACCGCTGTAGTGGGTGCTACTGATAAGAATAGATATAAGTACTATGTGTTGAGTAGCCAACAGAAGTTATAGGCAATTACCAGCGATGGGTAAATATTCTAACCAAAAAAACCCAAGAAACAATGTGGGTGTGTAGGAAATGAGAAGTCTGAGACTCAGGGAGGAATGCTTATGATTGACATCTTGTACAGTAGTCATCAAATATTGTACCTTTTCCATTAAAATAGTCATTTGCAGAATGCACTTCATTTCCTCTTCTGCTTCTATATCGATTTGCTCTTAATACGCCTACATTGTCTGTTGCATTTCTCTGGGTAGAATATTTACCCATCGCTGATAATTGTCTATGATTTCTGCCGCCCTCTCAACATATACTACTTATATTCATTCTGATCAACAGCGCCCACCACAGGTGTACGAAGAGCAAATCGCTATGGGAGAAGAAAAATGAAATACATTTTGCAAATGACTGTTTGAATGGAAAGTGTAGAATATTTCATAACTACTGTACAAAATATCATAATAAGCATTCCTTCCTGCATCTCAGACTATCGTTTCTTACACTAACATCTCGTCTTATTTTAGACATAGGCGGTTCTCCCTATCACTTTATTTCCAAGTAGTTAGCTGAACTTCTAGGACCATCAGGAAGGCAAGCTTGTGAATATTTACTGAGTGACATGCTTGAGTTTTTTGGTCGACTTCAAAGGTCACCCTAGAAACGATCAAAATAACTAATTAGGTTTCTTCATTTCGGATGGAAAGGCAGATTTTCATTAAATAGAGTAGTCTGTTTGGTTATTTAAGTTGTTGCTAAGGTGGCCTTAAAAGTCGCTCAGTCTTTCTTTGCTGTACTGATGTTTTAAATGATGCTGGTGAAATCATGTTTTTTTACATGTTTGCTTGCTGTTTCCTAATTTTCCACTTAACGAAACCTTGTGACTATTGACATGGAGATAATGATAAAAATTTAGGCTGGAGAAGGGACCAATCAAAATGTAGTTTCTGTTATCACGTTTACACTTAGACAGACAATGGGCCAGTCAATCAATAGTATTATTTTAAACGGCGATCCATCTATGTAGTAGATATATTTGCCTCTGTTCTTGTCTTCGATGTTTCAACCACAATACACGTTTCTACACGTCCATCGTGTCTTTACTAATTAGTTGGGTCAGGAATCAACTACGAAGTTGTTAAATGTTGGTAGTTGACAGTCCGATAGCCATAGCGGTGTAGATTTAGGGATTCCCCCACCTTGTTTGATGAAAATAATGCAGAGATATACAATGAATGTCCAGTTCATTTTCAAAAATAAGATCTATTGACAGGAAAGTATCACAGTGGGATTTCCCATAGGTACATTATTAGCTGATTTCTTCTGAAGAAGCTTAGAGAATGAAAATCCTGCATAAACTACCAAAAAAGTAGTCTTCTACAGGAGATATATGGACTATACTTTTCTTGTTTGTCGTTATCCACGTTATTCGAAAAGCGTAGAGTGTAACAGTAGACAGATCGAAAATATTTGGACATAGCTACTAGCCCAAGGGAGGACATTTTCACTAACTTAGAATCTAAAGATAATACTGAAGACAAAATTCTTAAGCACCATCTAACTAGCTTATTAAGAAAAACCTTCTATGTGATGACTTTAAGAGTAACCTATTGCATCTTTCCCTTGGTCACTCTTAATGCTAAGGAAATATTGCTTCAGCTGTCTAGTTCGATGTTCATCTACATGTTCAGCTGCTCTTATGGAGTTAAACACATAGGACGTTCACCGCGAAACATTTTCCGTTGCGTTTGATAGCACCCCCAGTATGACTGAGCAAAAGGAATTGTAGAGGCACAAATTCATCAGTCCTCCAACATGTAGCTGACTACAACCATGCAGCTTCCGAATCATCATTTGACACTATTTCCAAGGTAGAATCAAATTCATTGAAAGGTATTGTAGAGGCCTCGGTGATACATAATCTTAAAAGTCTCAACCGTGGGTTCTCCCTTTCCTGTTTTATTTTTCTAATGGATTCAGACTCGTTTTGTCTCGAAAACAATCTACCTAGGGCTAGCTAATACATAAAGCATTTTAATAGCCCTGCAGTCCGACTTCATTCATAGAGTAAAACTGTAATAGGATAGTATGAAATAAGTACCATTTCTTAGACTGCATCAGTTGTGCATAATCTTTAAAAGTTGTTCCTTTCAGCTTAACAATCATTTCCTGATAAGCGATGTCTTTTCAAACCAGTTCACATTCTTGTTATAGCTTGAAGATGAACATGAAAAATCCTGAAGGAGAACCATGGCTTTCTGCTGATTGCCTCCAATCAACTAACACATATATTCAAGTGCACTGTGATGCTGAGCCTCCGAGCTTGGTGAGCACATTTCAAAATCATCGATAGAATTCGTTCAGCACTCAGAACTAGACAGAATGAAATTTGTTGCCATCCACTAACCAATCAAGACATATGCAGTTTCAGCGTTAAATTACAGATGCACTGGAAAAACATTAAACTTAGGCGTTGACGAAACAAAGTACAATCACATAGATTTGTTTGAATTGTTTAGTGTATTTGCATAACACATTTTGCACCAGTCTAATTGCACACATGTCACAGGCATGCATTTGAAAAGTGATAGGGCAACAACAATCTTGTGAACAGTATCAATGAAATCTTTCGAAATCAAGGAGCTTAGGTGTCTGTTATCAACCTTAATGTGGTCATATGATTCCACTTGGTTCTCAAACCACTTACGAACATGATGTGTGTAGACTTGACACGCTCATAAACTAATTCTCTCTCTATATTGAATTTCGAGTGAGTTATGGGGATTTGGGAATATTTCAAGTTGTTATTCATCGTAGACTGACATCAGTTGGAGGAACAAAGGAAACCTGGGTTGTGGGTACGCGCTGCTGAGGAGTCCCATACTGGGACGAAACGGGTATCCAGTGCTCCCAGGTTTCCTTTGTTCCTTCAACTGATGTCAGTCTACGATGAATAACAGCTTGAAATCTCTATACATGTCAGCGTGACTACAAATACATTTATTTAAATCAAATGGTCGGTTTGACAAATTTAAACAGCTTAACGAGAAGTTTATCTGAAACATGCGATGTGTTAACGCTATGCATTTCGAACAATCTGATTACATATGGATTTGTTAACTATTTTCGTGAAAATTTATTATAAGAATCAATTAAGTCGATGGGACACATAAAAATAGGAAGGGCCAAGAAAAAATCTGAATCAAATCACTGCTGAGTAGGGCGAAACAGCGGCCCAGTGCTCCCAGGTCTTCAATGGTTCTCCTACTGATGTCAGTTAGTGATGAATACTACTCTTAAAATTAAAATCAATTCACATGTATATGTGGACACAGAAAAGTAGTAATCAGAATATAGTTGAACATGTGTCTAGGTTGATTCAAAACAAATAACTTCAACAGAGCAGACATGTGGGATGACTTTAAAGTCGACCTTGGCAACCGCTCTTATGACCAATCAGGTTTCGGTATCCTGACT